AGATAGATAGATAGATAGATAGATAGATAGATAGATAGATAGATAGATAGATAGATAGATATATATATAGATAGATAGATAGATAGATAGATAGATAGATAGATAGATAGATAGATAGATAGATAGATATGCTAGAAAAACTGTACACAATTTAAATAAATTTCGATTTAAAAAATTTGTTTTTTAATAGCTCTTTTAGCAATTTAAGTAATCAATCAGTTGGAAGAGTAATACAAAAATTACTTGGAAGAGATTGATTTAATTGAGTAAGAACAGTCAAAATTATATAGTAATTTAGTTGAGCATTCCAGACCATGTTTGGTCATTACTTAAAAAGGAAATGCATATGTATAATGTCTTAATTATTTTTTTTATCTTAATGTGCAGGGAAAAAATAACTTACAATAAACATCCAGTGTTACAGATATTTCTAATGGAGGTAATATTGCATTGTTTGTAGTCTGGCAAATAAGGGTATTCATTAAATCACTTCGCTGAAGCTTTTCTATTAAAAGCTCATTTCTCGTTATTTGATCCACAGAATCATAGCTATCATCTAGAATTCTTCTGTTTTTCCACCATATTAATGATGGGGATGGTTTTCCTGGAAAATTAATTAACCGATTAAAGAACAAAAATTCTTCATAGGATAACATATAAACTCTAATTATTTTTAGGGGATACTTGTATATTTTATCAAAAAGTTATTATTAATTACTGATTTATACGCATCGTTAAAAGAATATTCCATTAGTTTCTATATAAAATTTTAATATTTTGAAATATTTTGAATTAACCAATTAAAGAACAAAAATTTTTCATAGGATAACATTTAAACTCTAATTATTTTTAGGGGATGCAGAATGTAATATTTTAAATATTTTGAATCAACTGATTAAATTTGTTTTTTCTTCTATTCAATTCCATTTGTTTCTATATTCAAACCAATTCTATTTGTTTCTATATTAAAAGTAATATTTTGAAATGTTTTGAATTAAGCTGAAAAAGAACAAAAATTGTTCATTGGATAACATAAATTGCAATTGGATAAAATTGCAATTATTTTTAGGCGATACAAAAACTAATATTTCAAATATTTTGAATCAACCGATTAAGGAGCGAAAATTGTTCATGGGACGACATTTAAACTGTAATGAATTTTAGGGATACTAGTATATTTTAACAAAAAGTTATTATCAATTCCTGATTTTTATGTAACGTTAAAATAGTTTTTTGATAGTTACTATACAAAAATTAATATTTTGGAAAAAGAAACAGTCTTTTAAACTGTATCACGCATTCTAACATTGATAAAAATCACCAACATCTATCTTCATACTTCCTTTTATCTCTGTTTTCAATTTTTATATTTTCACTATCATGCTCAAATTTATTTTTTGTTGTTGAGCAACAAACGAATTTGAGGTGTTCTGTAATAACCGCTATTAATATGCTTCTTGAGAAGACTTATCAAACATAAACAATGAGCAGATTTCAGTCGAAATTAACAAATAATTAAAGGAAAACAAATGGCAAATCAAACAACAGGAAATCAGATGCAATAAACAAGTCGACAGGTTTGATTGTAGGAGAAAATGGAGAGGATTTGAAAGACGATTATTAGAAAGATATAAAACTTCCAAGGAAATATGTTTTGTTGTTTATAACTTACTATAGTTCATCAGTTTTAGAGAGAGTTTTTTATTTTTCCCCTCCATTAAATATTAATTTGTGACCCCATGAGTATATTTTTTATTTTTTGATAAGGATTCTAAAGATACACATTAAGAGTGATCTTTGCGGAACATCCTGTATGGATGGATGGTTAACCGTAAAACTAAGAGCAGTTGGCACTATGTCTTGAAATTCACCGTAAATCTTCCAGGTTACTACTCCCTATTTATTTTTGCACTTACTTTTGTTTGAAAAAGCGGAAAGTTTGAAAAATATTACTTCACTTGTAGTGTTTACAATAAAACGAGATCTTTCAATTTAACTTTTAATGAAATCAACAACAAGCGAATTTGAAAGACTGAGCAATATTAGTTGGTATGCATATATGAGGCTACCCAAAAAATAACAAACTGTGATATTTACAAAAATATAGCTAAATAGCGGAGAACATTCAAACCTTCCGTTCTTATTATGCTGTGATATTATTTTTCTCAAATTTAATTAGTATTTATAGTATTTATAAATTATAGAAAACTCTTATGAATGGTAAAATTAAGCGTGAATTTAAACGCAATAATAAAACTTCCTTAAATATGAAGCATCGCTTTTGCATGAGCATATGCGGAAGGATACAACGGAAGTTCATCCGGTTTTCGGAAGCTTGTTATTGTTTTCAATTAATCAACCATCCGAGTAAAGAGAGTTTTTTAGAAAATAGATTCCAGTGATAATTTAAGAAATGAAATAAACATTTCTTTATTGGTTTAAATATCTAGAAGTTGACTTTCATTAGCAACAAATATAAACAAACTACTTATCTTAGGTTTTATTACAGATTTATGGGGAAAAAATAAATATACCAAAATTAAAGTCGTCCCTTGGAAAGTTCTAGTAAGAGATCCAGCAGCTCGAACACTTCAAATTTGCATTGAAACGCATTATATCACTTTTATAATTATCATGCATTTAAGATCAAAATGAGGAATTTCACTATGAAGCTGATCTAGATATGTTTCTTGGAAATCTTAAAATTATTTTATAGATGCTAATTACAATTAACTCAATCTAGCTTTTATGGGAGAGCAACAGATGTTAGCAGCATTGCAAAATCAATAACACTAACTGACTTATTTAATATTAACCAAAAAATATTAATCATATAAACAGCGCAGCGTTTCTTTATCTTAAACCGTACTCATAAAGTGTGACCATTTAAAATATTTATCGAAATGATAAATTTCTAAATATCTATTTTTTTCTGTATAATATATTATGAAAAGTACTAAAATTGATGGGATACTCAATTTTATTTAATTTGTGCGTCACATGTGTAAATCGCATTAGCCTGAATTTATGTGGTGAAGTATTCATAATTTTTTCTTCTTCTATGCTGAAATCAACTAAAAATTTTATGCCTTCTCAATAAATTCATCTTTCGAGAATATTGTGGTACCTATTAGTTTAATTCATTACAATAATCATTTGATGTGCCCATATCATAAATAATTTCATTTCTTACCTCCCTCTGCTTGACAAATGAGTCGCAGACTTTCCCCTTCGTTGAATGGGCCAATTACTCCACTTAAAACTTTTCCATTGTGATCTTTAATGATTGGCACTCCAGGTGGAACTGGAATAAGAAAGATATCAGCCTATGTGTTAAAATTTGTTATAAATAATGAATATTCATATGCATATCAGCAAGGTAAGATAATGAATATTTATTTGAGAATAAGGATAGGGTTTGGGTGAATAGAAGCAATTGATGATATGAAGGTTTAAAAAGTTTAATGATCTACTAGAAGAATTAAAGGGAGAGTAGGATGATTCCACTAAGAGAGCCATTGATGATTATGCAATTTCGGAATTAAGTAACTTAAATCTATATTTATGACATACACAGGCTTTCGTCACTGGCCTTTGAAATGCACAAAAGTTACTGGAAAAATTAAAGTATTTCGTAACATGTCTGATATTTTTAAATCAATTACAATTAGCATATCTGATTTTAGAATAAGTTGGAAAGAAGCCAAATATTATTTAGACTGACTTTTTTAGGCTTGTAGCAGTAAACTTTGAAGAAGGTTATTTAAAATAAGCCTTTGCACCCCTGGGTTTAATGCATATAGTTTAGTGTTTTAATTAAATCCAGCTAATTGAGCAATGAAATGTGAATTTCGATTAGCTTGAAGGTAAGAAACTCATGCATGTATTTTTCTGTTTAGCCTTCTTTCATTGCAAAATAACGTAAATTTTACTGCAAGAAGTCAGATTATTAAATTAGACAACGTCATCTATGTTTTCTTTTAGTTTATAGATCTTTTGAAACTTATTGGTACAATTGAGACTTTCTCAGGTAAATTAGTCCGTTCAAAGTAATTATTTTTTAAAATTTCCTTTAAATTTTTAATGTAGAAAAGAGCTTGAAAATTGGTAACAACCAAGGTTTATGAATATAATAAAGACAATTAGTTGTTTTATTTTTTAGAAAACAAAAGACAGTGCAACGTTTTTAGCTTCTTTTGAAACTGCAGGTTTTTAAATCGTTAATTTTTATGAGAACTTTTAATAGAGGGCATACGCTTTTTTTTAAAAAATTTAGATACTTTAACGAATAATTAATTAAATAAATTGCAAATCAACTTCGAAAAAATACTTCTCATTTTTATTTTATTTTAAATACGTATTTCAAAAAAAAAAATTAAAACAATAATAATAGTTTCGGTCAAAATCTGTCTCATAAATAAATAAAGATCATTTTTGTCAAAGTCACTAAAATATGCATAAAAAAGACATTAAAGTATTCAAAACCATATCTGGAAAATCTAACTTCGGGAAACGGCAATTTCATCAGTTATATATAAGACCTCGTATTTTAGACAAAATACTTCTGTCTTCAATTACTTTTTTAATCTTTAGGAAGATAATATTGAAAACTGTTTTTCTTACCATCCAAATTTATTCAGTTTTAAAAAGTTTTTAAAAATTACGAAAAACAATAATTTTGATTATAATTTGTATCCCAAATAAATAAAATCAGTTTTTATCGTTCTCCTGAAAGCAAGTTAAGAAAATTGCATTAAAATATTTAAAGCTGGATGTTATTAAATTCAAGAGAAAATGACTCTAGTAATTTACTTAAAATGACGATCTGTCTTTTTTGTATCAAGAGCCTTATTTTGAAAATCAGAAAAAAAAATCTGAAATTGTGAAAGTTATATTTTTTTATTGGCTAGATTTTTTATTTATTAAATAAAGTTGTGAAAGGATGAATATTGGGTTTGAGATACTAAAAAAGTTTTTATTCCTCTGTAGAAAATTTGAAAGTTAGTTTAACGTTTTTCAAGGTCATTCCTTAAGAATAAAGTTATGGGCATGCCCTCGTATCTACGGGCATTGATGCTTTTCAGAGTTGTGCTCCGTCAAAGTTAGTGAAAAATTCAGTTTTTCGCGTTTTCTGCCTTGAAATTCTTGGAAACACAACAGCACCCCAATAACTTCTTTACTGAATGTTAACGTTCACCATTAGGACAAGCTCTTTGCAGTAGATATAGCTATTCGAACTTTCAAAAAATTGCAAAACCTAATTCTTCTTCTCGCTAATCTCAAAACAGCGTCATCGCTGAAAAAAGTAACTATACCATCGTAAGGTGAATGTATCTACTAACACGTCAAAAGGAAAAATCAATGGGACGACGTCCCATTTTCAAGTTACTTACAATTACCAAAGTTACATATAAAAGGTATGTTCGTAATCACTTTCCTTATCTTTTCTGAAACGATAATGATGGCTCTCCCTCTTCAAAATAAGCTAAAAAAAAGAGATTTTATAAGGACTCCATCTGTAATTGAAATATATAATTATGGAATAGGAAACACTTGGGCATGTGTTTGCACATACATTTAACTGCTAAATCACAGTTTTTCTTGTCAGTCATTTCTCCAAGGTATTAAATGGATTGTCCTGTCTATGAAAAATTGTGAAATCTTACTATAAAAATCTAAAAATGTTATATATTCTTTTCTGAACTGAACAACTCTTATAAACAGGGTTAAAAGATATAACTTCTTTCAAGTAAATCTCAGATATGCAAGCTTTGAGAGTTTAATTACTTGATTAATTGCGTACTTGACTGAAAGTTTACTTGTTTAAATAATGTAATATATAACGATAAAGTATGCAACCTATAAAAAATTCAATAAACAAATTTTATGTAAATATTTATAAACATATGAGAAAAAAAATACTCTTGTAAAAAAGACTGTTAGATTTCCAAACGAACAAAATGAATTTTTGTTTTGCATATTTATCTTTTGTAAAAAAGCAGGACCGCATCAAGATCCAGAATTCTGCTTGTAATTGGAACGGAAATACAGGAAGATGTGAAATGATTTTGTCCTAAAGATCAGAGAATAAAATTCAGCAATACATTTGATAAAAGAGGTAAAAAAAAATATTACTTTGACAATTGAAGAAGAAACAGAGGAAAATGCTCCTGATGTTATGTGATCCATATTGAATAATATAAGTGATTTCAGTTTCGTTTAAGCAGATTGCCATTTTTTTTAATAACTTTAAGAAGCAGCTGATCCTAAAGAAGTAGCTGATATCCGAAACAGCAATATGAACGTAAAGTGTATCAGATTTGAAAAGGATTAAATGGGCAGGCCACATTATAAGAATGGAGGATAGCAGGACAACCAAAAAAGTTTTCTGTGCCAGGCCAACAGGTACAAGAAAAAGAGGACGACCAAACCTAATATTTTTAGACTGCCTGGAAAAGGACCAACAAATTTTAAAGATAATTAACTGGAGAACCTTGGCTAAGGGAGGAATGTCTTGGCATAGGCTTGTTGAGAAGGCCAAGGCCCATCCTGGGCTGTCGTGCCAATGAGAAGAAGAAGTATCAGATTTGAACAAAAGGTGAAAAGATTTTAATATAGGGAGAAAATGATTTCTAGAAAAAGATGAAAAAAATCTTGTGTGAAAACGAAACGCCCCGCTCAATTAAATGTCGAATTTTTTGACTTCCTAAATTTGATTTCAAAAACGTAAATAAGTTACACTAAGAACTGAGTAAATAATATGTGATATATAACAAAGTTTATGATTTATTAGTAATTTCTAACAGTACTTTATACAAATACATTACAAAGAAAACCAAGCTGTTGATTTAGTTTATTTATGGCATAGCGTCTCAGTGATTTTTGTTCCATAATTATATCTTTGAATTATAGATAGAGTTTTCTTAAAATCTCTTTATTTTAGCTTTAGCTTTATTTTAGCTATAGAAGGAGAAGATCCACCTTGATTGTCTTAAAAAGGAGGGATGTGGTTCCAACATTGCATTTATTTGCAACTTTGGTAATTTTTTTCTGTAATTACCAAAATTCTGTAATTATTGCATCCATTGATTTTTCTTTACCACATGTTAGTAGATACATTTACCTAAAAGAAGGTGTAGATAGTTTTTTGAGCGAAGATGCTGTTTTGAAATAAGCTAAATAAATAAAGTTAGATTTCGGAATTTTTGAAAGTTTGAATAGCTATATCTACTAAAAGCATCTATATCCGAAGGTCAGTGCTCGGTCACAGCGCTTGTCCTAATAGAAAACTTTAATACTCAGTAAAGGAATTATTGAGGTGTTGTTGTTTAACTTAGATTTTCAGGGTAGAAAATTCGAAAAAATAAATGTTTCACTATTTATGACAGAGTATTACTCTAAACATCAACAATGATGACCCATGAAAAAAGGGAGCCATCCCTCATAATTAGACAACGATATACTAATAATATAACAAAACAAATTTTGCAGCATTGTTGCTTTCTTGAGATGAATAATTTAAAACATACTTATATTTCACTTCGGAACGTTGACCTTGGAGAAAAATAATTTATAGTCCATTCCACCTTAAGTTGGCACTGGAGAGAAGGGTAGGCAAACCGGATTACAGCCGTTGTCATTGAAACTGGGTTACTCTTTAAGTTGGTTGGGGGATGAGGTAGCAAAAAAAGGAGAGAAAGTGGCCAGTATTGGCGTTAAAGAAAACAAAATGCGATTTTTTTTTTTAACCAGAAATCTTACCAAAATTTTGAACAAAATACAGAAAATAACGCTATTTTTTAGAGCATTTCTAATAATTATTATTTTGAGATACTAGTTGTAAGCTGATTTTTCTTATTATGGTTTTTAAAAAGCAGATTTTCTTATTATGATTTTTTAACTAAACGAAACTAATTTTAGCAACAGAAGAAAAATATATATTTAAAAAGATTTTTTTTTTTTTGCCGAAATCTAAGTAAGAAAAAGAAATGCACAGATGCGCATAAATACTTTGTTTTAAATATTTATTTTTATATGCTACTTATTTTTTGTAGATTAATGTGCATTTAATGTTAATTTATCCCACATTGTTGTTGTTTGGCGTTTTGTGGGGAAAGGAAAGGTCAACATAAGCAGGAAATTATTAATCGTGAAAAATATCATACCTATGTTTTTTAATATTTGCTGTTCTTTTTTTTACAAATAAAAATTCCAATTTTTTTTCAGAAAAGTTTGTCGTTTTTTACTATAAAAGTAATTTTTTTCTGAAATATATTTGCTTGGTGAAATATATTTAAGCAAACTAAAGATTAATAACTTACAAAAGAAAAAAAAGCTATCGATTAATAAGTAACAAAATAATACAAACTAACAAAAAAACATGCTAACATTTAGTATTTAGCAACAAAAAAGGAAGAAATAAATCTAACAGGGAATCACAACAAAAAATTAATAATTAATGCAAAAAAAAAATAATTACTGTAAAAAACGAGCTAACAATAAAATAACTAGTAAAAAACAACAAATTGTAGATTAACATTGCATAGCCAACGAGGCTATTTCCTTGGCCTTGAAAACTAATTCAGCGCTAAACTAAAGCACCTGCTTCTTCTTTGTACATTCGCTTTACTGAGAAGGTATTTATAAGTTAAATACATTTCATTTAAACATGATAAACTTTTAATACATGTTTCAAGATAAACTTTTATTATTATGCAACATTTATTTGTATTTGTACGCGCATTTAAACTGCAATTAATTCCAAAATAGCGAAGAACTACTTTTCAAAGGCGGACTATTACATTCCCTACCCTTCCCTGCAGTGCCAACTTAAGGTGAAACATAGTACAGGAGCTCAAACTTGCATAGTATTCATTTTTTATAACTTATTTCAAAATGAAAAATCGAGTCAATCAAAAAATACAACAATCATATATTGTCTGAAGTTCAAAATAATGGCTCTTAAATATCAAAACTTTGATATTTAAAACAAAAACCTATAATGCTACATTTGCCATTTCTATTTAGTATTCTTCAGGAAGGTATTATTACGAAGAAAAACAAATATTGCAAAAATATAAAATTAAAGTATTTATTGCCATTTGATAAGTGTGGTCATTATACCAAACATAAGATCTCATGTTTTCCAAATGAAGAATACATTCCTTTGTTCGTGGTCTACAACTCAAGGAGAGGAGAAGTTACTTTCAGATACTTTACCACACAAAGAGTGATGGATGTGATCATTAAACGTTCACTGCCAAGATGAAACTGTGAAGGGACTCATTAAGTGTGAGTTACTTTCATAAAATAAATGATATGTTTGTACCTCCCTTTTCTTAATTTCTAAGCCATGCTAGAATAATGAGCTAAAAATGAGGGGGGAGCTCAAATTTTGTAACAAGAAATGTATCTACCAGATTGAGAATTAGTTATTTTATTACTATACGTTTTTGTTCTGCATCACGCAGTTACATTCGTTACAGCAAATATTTCCAAGGTGTTATTTTTAACAATGGTTCATCTATATGTTTGGTTTATTATCCAGCATTTCAAAATTAAATTCTACAATCAACAATCACTTTCATTCAATTTGTGGATTTGACATTTTCATTATTTTGTGTTATTTTTTTCAGCCATGCGTTGTTCATTTTTTTTGTAGTTGTTTGCATTATGGTGTGCATACTTGTGGAGTATACCAGATACAATCAATGTGATTGACAGTATAACTTTTTCCTTAATAGATTCATTTTTTTTAGTTTATCTTACATTAAATTGTCTGCAAACAGTTTTGAATTATTTTTCCCAAACATTCTTGGATTCAATGAATTTTTATTCCTTTATAATCTGTAGTACTTTTACTTATTACTGAACAACCACATATTTAGAACTGTTTTAAAGACTTGAAAACATAACTGGTAGAAAATTTGCAATGAAAAAGGACACAGTTGATGTCATCAATTAAACAGGAGGGCCAAATAAAATAATGAGTCAAATTTACACCCATCACGACATGTCAGAATATTTTTGATCGCGATATTTCTCTAGATATTCGTAGGGATAGCTGGACTATTTTGTTAAGAAAAAAGAAGCATTTGATACAAATGTTTAAATATACAAGGGGGGGGGTATGCTAATTGAAACTGTACCGGGCAAAAAAGGCATGAACCATAAAAGGATTTTACCATTAACAGATAGTAAACGAAATATGGCAATAAACCAAATCTGTAAGTGATACCAGCGTTTGCGATGCTTTTTTTATGCCTGTAAATCACACCAATAAATATACGTTGATTATTCTTTTATGATTTATTACGTTACTAAAACCCAGGGCTAAAGAGAATAGAAGGGCTAGTTCACTCCGCTCTTAGAGCTGAAGCTACGATTTCCCTCCTCATGACGTCACTGTGTCCACAGATCTCGGAGATCGCAAGCAAAGATATGATAACTTTGCATCTTTCTCTTTGTAAAAATAAGTTAGACTTTTTCTGGTTATTAGCCTTCAAACTTTACGTAATTAACACATTATTTCCGTTCATAAACATAGTTCAAAAAAAACTTTCTTGGTTATTATATTAAAAAAATACCATTTTAAACTTATAAAAATGTTTTGCTAGTTGGTGAAAATGACACGATAAATACTTTATTTTAAAAAGTTCAGTTTTAACTTTAACTATTAAGAAAAATGAAGGCATATATCGACACTTTTTTTATCTACATATTCTTTTATAAAGATAAGTTAAGTTAAATTTAGAATCCCTGATTTTAAAATATGTCGTTAATAGCAATTTGTTCATACTTAATCATTAGGAAACATCAACCTTAAACGCTAATTACTGAAACAAAATAATAATTTAGGTTCATAATGACATTAGAAATTTTACAATTGTTTATAGACATTTAAATTTACGATGATATAATTTATAGATATTTAAATTGAAGAGAATATAATTTTTAAAAAAAATCATAAATATTTAGAATAACTACATTAAAAAATATGTTATGAAATTAGGAGAATTTCAACTATATACTATATATTTTATTTATACTTTTTACTTACATTTTAATTTTCTTTGACTTTATCTATTTTTTAATTCTTTTCACCTGCCTTTCTTTATGAAGTAACGAGGCGGTTTCTATTTAGATAATGAATTTTTATAAAAGTTCTTTACGACAGAATAAACGTATTGCTGTTTTATATTAACTGTGTCATTTCGGAATCCATTCTTTACATAGTTGTTCATTTACTTTAGGGAACACGCGAAAAATTATACTTTTTCCTTTTGTTTTTGTATCAGAATTTTTGCAAGTTGCAATCGCGCAAACTGGCATTTCGATAATAGTTTTAAATTCTTGTAAATTCACTGCAAAAACTGAGGAAAGTCATTATAGAAAATAACAAATGTCTTAGAATATCTCGCAAAAAGAAATGATCCAATATTAGTTAGAGCTAGTAAGACCAAACGCTCCGTTCTTGAAGTAAAAGTACGAGCTTTGCGCCAAAGTGACGTCACTAGAGTGACGTCGGAGGATCTGCGCGGCGAGAGATACTTCAAAGGAGTGAACCAGCCCTTCTATTCTCTTTAGCCCTGACTAAAACCGGTTTCTAAGACTGAATTTTTCCCAAAGCTGGAACTTCCTGTGGTAGCACTTTCAATGTGCAAAATGGGAGGGTTTTTTCACCTTCCTTTTAGACTATACGTTTCGTTTTCGTTTTTTCCTATATGTCTTTATTGGCATAATGAGGTTTAAATCACACTACAGCTACAACTTAAAACAGGGCTTTGTACGTCAGTTCAAGCTATATTAAATCTTCCTTACTTGTCACAGAAACAACTAAAGCAAAGTGTTGCGTTCTAGCCTTTTGGAAATCGACTCTGCATCTGTATAAACCTTCATCAGCAAGAGTTATTTTATCTATCTCTAAAACAGCTGGCTGAGGCACTGTACTGAAGAAGGCTCTTCCAGAAAGAGCTTCATTGGTCGCGTGACGGGCTTGAGACAGTTGTCCTCGCCTGGCATCTAAACTGTAAATGGGGGTAGCAACATCATCTTTGTACCACAGAACTAAGTAAACTTCGTCATTTATAATGGGTGATGTTATGTCACACGGCAGTGAAATTCTGCTTCCTGACACCGCTTGTAATGGAACTGGGATTTCTGAAAAATAAGTAAACAATTAATAAAATGGTTGCAGTTTGCAATTAGAATTATCAAATGCAAAAATTAACTTTGAAGCAATAGAGTTTAATTTTTAGATGATATTTATTTTTCATTAAATGATTTTTAATAATCTGCTTAAGAGTTAAAAGTATTTTGAAAAAGGTAAAATATATTTAAAAATTTAAACGTACATAAATTTTTTACACTCTAAAGTATACTTTTTAAACAATTTTTGGTTCATTAAGTTTGCTGAAATCTCAATATAATAAAATCTTTGCATTTAAAATTAAATCTCCCTTTAAATCACTTAAATATTTAATGTATTTTTTACATCCTGCAAACTTTATATTAGGCTGCATTCTTTTAACAATTACTCACGAACTTATTCAAAATAAGAATAAAAGACATTTTAGGGAAATTATTTTAAAATAAAGCAAGTTCTTTCAAAAATGTAAGAGAAAGAAATGGAACTGACACTTTTTTTTGGCAGATTATGTGTTTTTATTTTTAAATAATGATCTAGTTTACGAAATTGAAATTATTTAATATTATAGCAATAATCAAGTAAAATTTTTCTCAAATCAAACTTGGAGAATTAAAATTAAATGATTGAATTTTCTAAAATTAAATGAGTGATCTAAATCAGTCGAGAGCCAAGAACCGTAGGATCACTTAACCATTCACAGATAGCATCTATGACGTTGTTCATTTTTATAAAACCGAATAATACGTTTCGATTTGGTCTATAAAACTCATAACGTATTACATAAATTTCAGAACAGTTAGAAGTTAGTAGCTTTAATAGCTCCATCAACTTTATGTAATACTTTTCTAATTACTTTGATGACTTAAGCGTAGATAAATACTCACACGCGCACACACACACACAAATATATATATATATATATCCGTNATATATATACATATATAATACCCTCTAATTAATTACTGACTCCGATAAAATAAAATATAAATAAATATTAATATATATAAACATGTCTGTATTAAAACTATCATATCGAGTATAATATGATAATTTATATGCTAATTATCATCGAAGTAATCTTGTTTTAAATTTTATTCCATAAAATGGTAAACATTTAAAATAATTAAGCAATAGTTATTCAACGTCTAAGCCTCAAAAGTGTTCTATTTCTAATAAAATTATAACGTTTTTTCGCAGCGTATAATTAATTTCCTTTTGGATAACTCAATGGCTCCCGCCTGTACTAACATTCGATTAAGAAACATGCGCTCTTCAAAATTAAAAATACCGTTTGAAATTTTTTAAAACAATGATAAGGGGCAAAAAAGGCTACAGTGGACACCCAAAATCGTAAAAATCACTCAAAAAATTGATTTTCCAATTTTGACCATTTTACATTAATTGAATAATGCTCTATCACATGCAAAAAGAATTTTTCCGATTTGAGCAATTATAAGCAAGCTATAAGCTAGTTTCGTTTTCGTATTTTCGTGCCACGCCCCTTTGTTTACATTTTTACTGTCACCTGAAACCTCATAATTTTTAGTCTTTTACACTTGCTAAGTATTTTGATTTTCTTTACTTTTAAAAAATTATTATAAAATATAAAATTTAAAAAAAAAATTTCTGTGGCAATGAACTTTAACTACAACTTTCTCTTATACAATCGTGTTTGTTTACAATCTGAACCTTAGCGTTTGCGATTTTCTTTCACGTTCTAACCTAAGTTATTTTGAATTTTCTCATAAACAACAGCACTTTTCAGCGCTAAACTATTTATTCTTTGATTTAAATTTATAACTAATATAATTTTCTTCAATTTCTGCATCTTCTATTTTGATTTTTGTTTGGAAATTCTTGTTGCTTTATCACTTCTAAATTATTTTTCTTTGACTGTTTCTAATTTCATATATTGTTTATATTTCCTTATTTTCTTTATATTTCCCTATTTTCTTTCATTGGTTTTTTTATTATTCTTATTTATTTCTAAATTTTTGGCTTTATATACTGATGGATTTAATCACATCAAGGTATAGAAAGCCGAAGGTTCGCCTTACGAAAAGAAGGAAAACTTTGATCGCTAATCTTCAAAAACGAAAAAGTGAGACTGATAATTTTTCTGATGACCAATCTGTTGCAGAAACATCTGAAACTCGCGAGATTGATGATTGCCCTATTTCTGATGTTCCAGTGGCTGTAGAAAAACCTGAAGCAATATATGTGTTTACACATAGTGCAATGTTTAGTCAACTCCTGCAGAATGTGCCCTGTAAAACCTGTGGTAAAGAGTCACTGAATATTAATCAGCACCAATCCCTTGGATTTTCCATAAAATTGGAGCTTCTGTGTCAAGAGTGTGGCGAAAACTATGGCAGTACTTTCTCAAGTGTCAGAGAAAAGGAAAGCATGTCTTTTGATGTGAACAATAAACTTGTGAGTGCCTTCTTATCAATTGGGAGAGGCCATGCTGCCATGGAAACTTTTTCCTCAGTGTTAAACATGCCTAGTATGGACAGAAAAACATTCACCAAATGTCTGCGCAACCTGAGTAATAAGAATGTGGAATTTAGGGAAAATATGCTAAAAGTTTCTCGCGATACTGTGAGAGAAGCTCATGTGGAAATAGATTCTTCTATACACGGAGATAAAATAATTGATATAAGTGTGTCGTTTGACGGCACCTGGCAGAAACGTGGCCACACCTCCAATTTAGGAATAGGTGTGGTTATCGATGTTCTTACCGGCCTTGCTGTTGACTTTGAAGTACTTTCAAAGTATTGCCAAAACTGCACTGTTACAGAGAAGCAGCTTGGAAAAAATGCACCAGAATTCGCAATTTGGTACGAAGGCCACTCTTCAGAATGTGACAAAAACTTCAGCGGCACATCAGGATCAATGGAGATGCATGCTGCTAAAATTATGTGGGAACGCTCTATTGATTCCTGTAATTTGCGTTATGTCTCAATTCTCAGTGATGGAGATTCAAAGACATTTTCCCTTTTGCGTGAGACCAAAATCTATGGAAATGATGTGGAAATAAAAAAAGAAGAGTGTATTAATCACGTTGCCAAGCGCCTTGGCACTGCTTTACGCAACACAGTAAAAGAGGGGCGTGTTAAAAAAGTTACGCTTGGCGGGCGTAAAAAAGGACTAACAGAGGCGAATATATCGATGTTGCAGAACTATTACCGTAAAGCCATCAAGAATAATGCGCCAGATGTGCAGAAAATGAAGACTGCAGTTCTCGCAACAATTATGCACTGCTCATCAACGGACGCTCGACCGAAGCATAATAAATGCCCTGTTGGTGATGCTTCCTGGTGTTTTTATCAACGGGCTCTGGCAAAAAAGGAAACGCCACAATCACATAATGCTATGAAAATTTATTTGTCAGAAGAGACTTTGGAAAAAATCATGTCTGTATACCAAAGACTGGCTGCAGATGAAATTCTTTCACGGTGCATTGCAGGCAAGACTCAAAACTTGAATGAGTCATTGCACAGCTGCATTTGGCGCAAATGTCCTAAGGACACCTTTGTGTCTAGGACACGGCTTGAAATTGCTGTCACTGAAGCGGTTGAGGAATTCAACTTGGGGCATGTCAAAGCATTGCAGTTGAAAGATTTTAGTGATGATGTCAACTTGAATGACAGCTTTTCAATGAAAATCGCTAAAGCTCAAGATAGTCGACGGCAGTCACAAAAGCGACGCTGCCAAAGTCAGACCTATAAAACCAAAAATATACAAAAAAAGCACTAAAATAAAAGTGAATGCAGTGCATCATACGCTTCTGGTGGATTTTGAATGGTGTACTTTCTTCTAGTGTACTTTTATTTACTTACCATTTTATACTTGTACATGGACTATTTTATATCTGAATGGACATAGTCATTTTATGCTTATGAAGATTTGTATTTGGTAAAACTGTTTTGTTCGTGTTGATTTTATGTTTTTTTTAATATTCATTGCTGAATATATTCATACCTAATGAATTTTCCAGCTAATTTTTGCGAAATGAAATATTTTCCCAATAATCAATATTGCAATATTGAATAATTTTTGCATTCAAATTTAAAATTAATTTTATTCCTTTTGATTAATTGTTTAACTTTTGTCATACATTATCAAAATTCATCATTTCAATAAATAAATTTATAAAGAAATAAAATAAATGTGTATTTTATGGCAATTTTTTCTGATTATTTTTACTATAATACCATATTTTCTTCCTCATTAGTTTCTGATATCTACTACTATAAATGGTTAAATTTATATATAATTGGTTTGTTCTGATATAAAAAAGCATATTAGTTAGTAAAAACATAAGAATTTGAAAAACATTTGACATTATTTGTGTTGTTTTGCCTTTTTATTACAAGAACTTGATTTTCTCAGAACACAAATTTTGCAACGAACTGGAAATTGAAACGGTTCAATGCGCTGTAATTTTGATGACAACTGCATGAAACTTTCCTTACACACTCTCTAGATCAATAAAAAAAACTTGTAGGGAAAAAATTTTGAAATAGTGTGACACAACATATTTTATGGTCATTTCAATGCTCCAAAATGTTCGTTGAGCGACGATTTTCATGTTTTTCTCTCCGAAACTTGCTTTTTCTACTCTGTATGGAAATTGGTAGTAAAATGTGTAAATTTTTTCCCTACAATTTGAAGAGAAAAGTAAATAGAGTTGAAATTAACAAATAACTTTTGAATTTAAAAAAAATTTTAGCGCAAGGAGCTAATTTCAACTTGAAAATAAATCGAAAATTTTTTTAAAAAAATTTGAATTTTTCATGTTTTAGCATGAATTATGTGTCGAACTATTTTATTTTATGTTCTCTATCTAAATATGAACAATCCCTGCAAGTTACAGCAATGTGACATTATTTTTAAAAACAATCTTGTTAAGAGTCCACTGTAGCCTTAGCCATATCATAGTAGAAATTTTGAATTGCTCGATGCTATGGTTAGAATTGAATATAAAATGTGACTTAACTTGATGTTT